CCAAGTAGGCACCATTCACTTACCAGATGACAATTTTCTGTGAGCCCTTGACTAATGATGCTTTGTGTGCTGCAGGGACATGAAGTCCTGTTGAGTGGATACTGCGAACTCACAGTAACAAAGCCATCTCAGTGCTGGCCTGCTTTCAGTGCTCTCCTTTCTTTAGATCATCCTCAAATTGCCAGGGATGCAATTTTTGCTTTCAAAGCCGTGGTGGGAATGGGTCCAGGAAGACTGGACCCTGTCTGGCTTGCATGTAATGTGTGTGTATTAACATGATGCTGACATTTCCATTCCAGTGTACCTCCAACACATTATTAGCCCTGAGCCTTTCCTGGGCTAAGCCTAAGGCACCTCCCTTGAATACTGGATCTGTGCTCCTAATGCACCAAGTTCCCTTTAATTAAGTGAACCAGCTCCTGAAGGGTATTTGTGCAACAGAGGGGGAGTGAATCAGATGCTTTTTCCTTTGGGGCAGTGAGCACCTGAAGCCTGTGGCTATCAGTTAATTATAATGGCTGTGAGCCACCCTGCCCTAGACCAAAGGGCTGGGCATGTCCCTGTGGTTCACAGGCACCATTTGTTTCACTTCCAGACTAATTTGTGCTGGCTGATTTGGGATCTGAACAGATGGTTGAGAGTAGGGAAGGTAGTGCTATATCTTATGCTGTATCTCACCAACGTGGACTCTTCTACCTTCTTGAAATGGTTGAGGTGAGGACACTGGTGCCATAGGCTTGTTCAACGCGGCTGATGTCATGGGCTGATAGATGCATGCCCATGGGACACACTGACCCATGGCCATTCTTGCAAAATGCTCCTTCCTCTGTCTGGCTGCTGTCCTCAGCAAGCATCATGGGGCTTCTGGTGGAGCAGGGGCAGCATATGCCCCTTTGGGAAGAGGTGCCACCCCCAATGCTCCTCTTTGTACTTAATATATATATATATGTATACATAAAATTAAGGGGATGTAATTTAGATAGCTTTGTTCTAGTTTATTTCTTGTGTTGGAGTTCTTAAAGGATGTCCTCTAAGAACCAGGGCCACGTACAGGGTGAAATTCCTGCTTTGCTGGCATCTCCACATAGCAGTATTCCAGAAGGAGCTTCCATGTTTCCTGTTACTGTGTCTTATCAGGACTTCTGCAGGGTGACAGGAGCAGCCATCACTGTGGTCCTGAGCCACGTGGGGCTGCAGCTCACCTGAACGCACACATACATCTAACCTTTTTTGATAACAGGCTCTGCTTAACCCAGAGCTGTGGAGCCTGAGCAGCACCTCTGAGTTTCCCTACAGAGCCTGCCTGCAGGAGGGGGAGGCAATGCTCTGAGCTGTTCCTGCAGCTCCCACTCTTCCTAGGCGAAGTGGCTGCTTTCCCAGCTATTTTGGGAGGGCCTCTTCCAGGGGTTCACCATCCCAAGGCAGACAGCTTGAGTGAGAAGCCCTGCAGCAGGGTGCCAATGGCCAGGATTCTCCTCAAAAGCCCTTGCCTGCTTGCTGTCCCTGCACCCTGAAGCGCTGGGCAGCAGTGCCCTTCCTAGTGGCCCTTGTTGGTATCTTGGTGCCCATGTTGATCTCTGGTGTGATGGGGCATGTGGAGGAGAGGGGCAGTCAATTCTGGGGAGTTCCTTTACCTTTCCATCTTGTTTTCAGGGATGCCCTGATAGCTGACACTGTGCTAATTATGCCTGGTCTAAAGAGGAAGGCTGTGGAGCAGTAACCTGGCTCATAGCTCTTAGCCTGTTAAAATGTGCTGCAATGTAAAGTCCTCCCCTCTTCCCCACAGCAGAGTCCAGTATGGAGGGTATGCTGGACAAGGTGTATTTCTGTTAAAGGCAAAGGTGATGAAATATGCTGTGTCCTTTTCCTCTGGAGGGGCAGAACCAGCAGGAGAAGCGAGGGCCATCGCTGGTAAAGAGCAATACAAATGTGGTCTTCTCAGGGCATGACTTTTATTAACAAAATAACAGTTTGTGCTGGATTTCTGCCGTACAAGAGCTGGCATGATCCAGGTGTGAACACAAATGGGAATCTTGTCACTCCAGTGCAAGGTGCCACGTGGCTTACTTACTTGGAACAATATGCCTTAGAGCTAGACTGACCACTGTGCTATGCCTATGGCATGAGTGATTAGTTGGGAGCACAGGAAATGGGAGGGGGGGGAAGGGGGGGAATGCCAGTACTGTGTTTTGTCACTGTACAGGAGGCAATAGGAGGCAAGCTGAAGAAAGGGAGGAGGAGGAAAGGTTTAGCAAGGAGCATCCAGACTGCAATTCTGGAGGTGGAAAACAAGGTATTTTCATATCCCCTGTTTCTGCAGAGGAGCTCAGAAAGAGATGGAAGAGCTGGTAGAAGGATATGATATACCTCTGAGCCAAAATGCATTTCCACCATAAGCCCAAGTCAAGGCCAGCAGGATGATGAGTACCAGATGATGAGGCCAAAGGGAATATCTTACATGTGAAGAAAGGAAGGTTTAGAAAAAGAAGATGACAAAAAAAAAAAAAGAGCTCTTAACTACTACTCATCAAATAAAGTCTTCAGATAGCTGTTGTTGAAAAGACTTCTCTGTGGATGTGCTGCATATATATAGCTGCATGTTCATACAGAGTCCCTGCTGTGAAGTCTCTCTATGGGGAGGGTGCTGCCTTCCCCTCTCTTCTTCAGGCGGAGAGCCAGAGTCTCACTTCTTACAATTTACGTGAGTTAAGCAGCTCAGGTTTATAAATCAGAGCAGTAGGCATCCATAAATCTTAGGGGGAGAAAAATCCAAACAAGCATTAGGCAAAAAAGTGCCTTCTGGTGGCTGCTTGGATTAGGAGAGAATTATTAGTTCTGATCATGTCGGCTGGGCTGAGTACTGTGTTGCTGTTTGGAAGCCTGGAGAAACATTGCACAGCAAACATGGTCCAGGCCTGAAACACTGTGCTTGAAGGATTTTTAGATCCAGCTGTGCTGTCTAGCTCACCTACATAGTTACTGCCTCTTGTCTGTACTGGACCGATTTGTTGGGCCAGACCTGGAGTAAATTAGTCATGTCCCTGGTGACTGAGCCTGAGTGCCTGCCACACAGCAGGTCCCCCCTTGCCAATGGGGTTCAGGCCAGATTCTCAGTGTTGTAGACCAAGCCGTTACCTAATAAGCTGTTAGGCTTACCCGTGGAGCTTCTGGTAAAGGTGGCACGAGGAACTGGTTAAATGACTGCAGGCGTTCCTGGTGGTCGTGTGCAGACAGCATCCCCGGGTGCCGCCGTCTGAGCGAGCAGCTCTGCTGCTTGCTGGACCTCAGCTCCGGAGCAGGTAGAGCAGTGAAGCGCTGACAGAAACCCTAAAGCTCCCTCTAGCGTGCAGCAAGTGTAAGGGCTGTAGATCTGCAGACGAGAGCCTCGGAAGGAGATTGGTATTTAAGCCCACTAGATTCAAAAGGGATTCAGTCACCTGCATCCTTCTGAAGCTCGGGGCTGGGCTCTGGGGGTAGCTCTGCGTAGAGATACTGTTTTTGGGAAGAGCTTTTTCCTTCGCACGTCCTTCTCTGACCTTTCCCTCTGAAACGCTGGGTTAATGCTTGGACAGCCCTGGAAGAAGTGAACATAGTCCCTTGGTACGGGGGCTGTTACCTTGACACTTCATCTTATAGCTGTGCCTCTTCAGAACCATGGGAGATGTGAGCTAGTGCAGGGCTGGACTGGCTTGCTGCTTGGTTTGGTAGCGGTGGTGGTGCAAACAGGGTGATGGGAAAAAAAAACAGAAACGGGTTGAGGAAGGAAAAGAAATATAGAGAAAAAGCAGGTTATAAAATTAGGAACTGGATTAAAAGAGTGACCACCAGAGAAAGGAAAGCACTATGACACTGGCATGGGGAGAGATTGGGAATCAGGGAAAAGCTGACAGCAAAGTTCACTTAACCACAAGTATTTTAAAAACTTCAAGCTGGTCCCATTTGTCCTGAGTTTGTTTCTTTTAGTGTCTATCAGGAAGCTGGGAAACCCGGTAAGACAGGTGAAATTCCTCTTTTGGGGCTGGTAAGGGGGAGACAGTTGCTGTCTGCTGTCCGCATCCAGGAGTCTGGGGAAGCCTCATTCAGCTTGCCTTGCTGCAGGCATGTGACACTGTCTATGATGGCTCATCAGATGATATGATCCCCACCACTGGGTCAGGGAGGCTTGTCCTCACCTCTTCTTGTACCTCATCTCTTTGGGTACGGTACTGTCTGGGATGCCCTGAGCATAAATAGCTTTGGATTTTCACATAAGCTTGTGTGTGTTGGTTATATCTAGACTCACTGCTGTTCAAATATTTATGTATTTGCTAGACCTGGGATCAGAAACTACATCCCTGCTCCCGGAGGAGGGTCCTGACCAATTGGAGTATCTTTTCCACCAGCCCTAGGCCCGTCCTGACAAGCAAGAGCTTTGGATCAGGACTGGACTCGAAGGACTGAGCACCACCACTGCCATTGTCACAGCACTAGCACCGAGGGGAGGGATTTTGCTGTTGATTAATCAACTATGTGGACAACAGTTGCATGCACTGGACACTAAGACAATAGCCAGCTGCCTAACAACTTGAATGGTGAAGGCTTACAGTTGCTTCTAGTTTAAAAGGCATAAAGAAACTAGCTAATATACTTCCTGTGACTACACATCCTTCCTCAGTCCGTATCCTGCTGTTAATTAGTCCAGGGGGAATACTTTTTGTCCTTATTGAGACCCTAGGCCAGGCTGGTCAGTGAGGTGGCTCCTTGGGCTCTAGAGTGGTGGCAATAACCTGTATTTAACAGCAGTGTGGTTTGTGTACGGGAGAGCACAGCCAGCCCCATGGATCAAGATGTATCAACAGTGTTAGAGCCCACGGCCACCTTCTCCTGCTTAGGAAGCCACAGCCCCACAGAGATCCAGTTCTCCCGCTCTTCTGCGACATACGGCCGGGTGGCTCTTTTACTACAGAGAATACGGCTGCCGCCGGCCTGCCCCGCCCCGCCCCGCGCCGGAGATGGCGTCAGCGCGCGGCTTTGCTGCGCCGCTACACTGGGCACCTCGGCGCGGCGGGCGGCGCCGCTACACGCAACGTTACGGCGGCCGGCGGGCTTTCCCCGCGCCGTCAGCTGATGGGCGCCGGGCCGGTCCCGCGGCAACATGGCGGCGGAGATCCATTCGCGGCCTCAGAGCAGCCGGCCTGTCCTCCTCAGCAAGGTCGAGGGACACCAGGACGTGGTGAGCGCCGCGCTCCTCATCCCCAAGGAGGACGGGGTTATCACGGCCAGCGAGGACAGGTGAGTGGGGGCCGCTGTCCGCCCCGTCGGGGCGCCTCACGGGGCGGTGACGGCCCGATCCCTAGCGGGAGTCCGAGGGGGCTAGGCCGGGGCGCTGGTGGCGGGACGGGCCGGCAGGGCGGGCGCGGCCCCTCGGCGGAGGGTCGGGTCCCGTCCCGTCCCGTCCCGTCCCATCCGGTCCTCTTCTCTCACTCGGCGGTACCCACTCCGTGCGGGGCTGGGGCGCCGATCCCGCAGCTCCGGAGCCGGGGCGCAGCGGCCGTGCGGTCCCAGCGGGAGGCGGCAGCCGACGGGAGCCGGCTGAGCTGAGGAAGCGCAGCACTGGGTGTGGGGTGAAATTCACTTTGTAGGCTCCAACTTTGCCAGGAGGCATGCAGCCATGACTCTTTGCCTGGAGCCGTAAGGAAATAACCGAGGCGGCAGTTCGAGGGAGGAAAATATCGTCACCCTGATTCCCGCTCTCGGAGGGAGCCTGTGGGCGGGAGCAGGGCTGGGAACGTTCTCCTGCGGATGGGAAAAAGCCGTCGTACTTCTAACCCTGCGAAGTAGATGGAAAAGTACACCTCGTTTGTGTGTGTGAAAGGGGTCTGCAGTGGTAATGAGTAGAACCAAAAGTGGAGGGGTATGTTTTCCTCTGCCTTCAGCTGTGTTGGCTCAGTCACTTGGAGGCGAGTTTGGAGCTCCCCAAGCTGCTTCAAACAAGCCCATTCTGGTGGCTCAGCCAGAAGGTCTCAAGCCTGGCTGAAACCGTTGAGAGTGAGTTGGCAGATCTGAGGGGAGAGGTGGTGATGAGCTGCTGAGGACTGGTTTCTGGAAAGGAGGGGAAAAGGTGTTCAGGTTGTAATCCCCATCCTTGATACTGGCTCATATGGTACGTGAAACATCTGTCACAAAAGCTGGTAATGTCATTAACCCGTTATTCAGATGAAATGAGAGTGAAAATGAGGAAGCACAAGATTGTTGGTTAGGAGAGAGATGAGGGGTCTGCCAGTATAGTGGCGAGAGCTGGAATTTCTGCCACGCTATGTGGAAAGTGACTTTTAAATATGGAGGGGTAGGAGATTCTTCTTTAGAGCTTCTCTTCTGTAACTGTAGCAGAGTTTGAAAGGAGTGTACAATGACTGGTGCTGATTATCGGCATTTCTGAGAAATGAGAACGCTCTAGTCTAGCCTCGCTTTCTGTGGAGAGGTGGTAAGAATGTGTTTTTCACTAGCATTGTTTTCAAGTACCAGTTGAGCTTTTTAGAAAGCAGACAGTAAGAAGAAGGAAGAGGAAGACTTAATAATTAGCTCTTTAAAGTGGCTAACTGGGTCCCACTGCCTTTTTTATTTCCCCTGAAGATTAGCACACTTAATGCTTAGACGAGCTATCAGTTATCAGGACAGGAGTAAAAGCTCATTACTGAAGTCTAAAAGTCTGAAGTACAAATGCTGTAAGTTTGGAGTAACTGAAGGCAAAGATTTCCTTCTGTTTAAAAGTTATTTGAAAATATTTTTCTGAGGCACTTGGAGTCAGGCTCCTATTCCTAAAAAATACTTTTTTTCAGCTATCACATTGGGTGCTTATCTTAATAGGCCATTAAAGATGTGCTCTTAAGCGTTTTTAGTGTTATGGTTGTACCATCAAATTCTAGCATGTGACAGATATCATGGTCTTCTTTCCCAGGCTTCCAGAATGATGGAGCTCTGGGTTCTGGAAGCATTCAGCATCTTGACCCTTTGAGCAGTAATACGTACTGCTCCTTGTTGAACCATGGCAGTAATTGTACATTGCTTACAGCAAGCATTTACGCTTGGATGTGTTAGCTGTGTTTTCTGGCTTTGATTGAAAGGTGGACTTGGGTTAGTCTGTTCCCTTCCTGTGGAAATGACTTTCTGTAGTACATGTTGGATAACAGGTTTTGAATGGGACTGAGCAGCTTTCTTTTCATTCTGCTCTTGCATGAGATTGTTCTGGTATCTTAGTCATGTGCAGGATGAAGTTGGCCTTTTGGGTGCAACTGTGGGTTGAATCTTAACCTTGTTTTGATGTGCTTCCTGGTGGGGAGAAGACGAAATAGCAATTTTTAAGAGTGGGTATCTGAGTTAAACTGAGTTTCATGGTGCGGGTTTGCAGAGGCTTGCCTGTAGCAGACAATGTCAGCCTTCAGACTTAAAGGTCTAAAGCTGAAGGTCAGCAGCCTGCATGCTTAGACTGTGTTGGTAAGAGCCAGGGATGCAGCTGCATCGTTATCTGGGCAAGTCAGATACGGACTTGTGCAAGGAGGGCAGAGGCCATTACCCACGTTTGGTGTGTATAAATTTCTAAGAGAAGATTTGGACTCAGGGTTAAATTCTTGTAGGCTGCCTTACTATGGGAGTTTACTTAGACCTTTAAGCTTTCAGAAACCATTGCAGTGTAGTACCTCTAATATGGGATACCTCCTACAGTACATCAAAGCTTACTCACATGTACTTCACCTACAGTTTAGCATGTTATCAGACTTACTGCTCTTCTGTTTGTTTACTATAAACAAGGTGTAGGTGTTAATACTGCATAAGTGATGATGCTGCTAGCAGCAAGCATAGTACAGAGTTGAAGATGTGAAAGTACTGCTGTGTACACTGAGAGAGTAGTGCAAAAGCATGTTTGATTAAATCTCAATACAGCTAAGGCTGTCAAGTATTTCATAATAGCCAGTCAGAGGAATGTGTTTACAAGTTAAGTAGCGAGGAAAATACTGGTGCGCAAACATTTCCCAGCAGTGTTGTAGATTATCCTCTCATTAGAGGAGTCGTAGTTCTTTCTAGTTTAAATTTTATTTTCTAGAATGAGAATTAACAGATTTTTGTTGTTGTTGGTGGTGGTTTTGCTTGCTTGTTTTCTGTTTGGTTGGTTGGGGCGTTTTTTTGAGGGCACAAAAGATGCCATTATAGATTTGCAAATACAAATAAAAACCTAGCTCTTCTTTTTAAGGTTTTGAAGCTGAAAACGATGACAAGAATATACTTGCAGGAGTTAAATTACTAGTTTTCCAAATCTGATTTTTGGCAGGATACTTGCCATCGCTGAAGCTTTCTCAGAACTTACCCAGAAAGGGTAATTCATTCTGTGTCCCTCTGAGTATCTTGTCTGACCCTGGCTCCCAGACCATGTTTGGAATTGTTGCAGTGTGTACCTCAGCCTGGGAAGAGGCTCTGGTACCAGCTGTGAGTTGGATCTGTCTGCTCAAGGCTGGCTTGTGTTTTCTTAAAGGTGATATAGGCCAGTGTGGGCTGCACAGATCTGTGATACCGCCAAATCTCTAGACTTGGCCTTATCATCCTTGTTCTCAGCAAACAAATACCTAAGGCAAGATTGGTGCTTCTCAGCTGTAGTTGGGGATCCTGAGGGATTATAAACTAGTGTATAAGACTCTAAATGCAAGGTGAAGGTATTGTATATGCTGCAGGTTAATGGGATCTCTAGAGTCACTAGTACATCTGCATGCTGGTGTTCTGTGACCATTAGCAGTTGATATTGCATTGGAACTACTGCTTAAGTTGTGGTATTAAGTTTGTTTGTTTTTTTTTTTTCTGTTATGGAGCTTAAATATTGGTCAAAACTAATGTTTTTTGTGAGCAGAAATTAAATAAAACCATCAACTGTGAGTCCTTGAGATTCCATTGCATTGTGATTAAACCCAATTTCTAGTGCTGTTTTGGGAACATGGTCAATAGCAACGTAAATACTTCTGGTTTATTTTGACTACCAGAAAAATACAGTATTCTGTTTTCTTGCTAGGAAAACAATTGTGATTGCCTTCAGGTAGGAAAGCAGTGGTTAGTGGTTTGAAGGTGTTGGGAAGATGCAGTTCTTGGAGCAGGGCTAGTATGTCTGTGAAGTACTTGGAACTGCTGGGTTGTAACAAGTCTGGATTTACCTGCTAACCTTTCATTGCTTGTTTCTCCCTGACATATATGCATTTGGATTTTAGAGGGCAGCCTATGTGGCACAAGCACAAATACTGTTGGAACACTACAGGATTTTCTCAGTTCTCAAACCTCAAGTTTTATCACCACCTCTGTTGAATACTTCCTCTGTACAAAAAACAGCTATTGAGAACAATGGAAATCTTTAGGAATTGCTAAGGCCATGCTTATTATTGCTTAAAGATGTCTTTTTGTGCCTTTCTTTATATTACTGAAAAAAAACCCAAACAACTAAAAAAACCCCTTTGAATTACTCTTTTATAAACACACATGCTTTCCAGCTGTTTCAATACTCAGATGCTAGGGAAATTTGGAGGTCTTTTTAATCTTGTTTTACTTCCTCCTGCTGCTCTCAGATATCTGAGCCTACTGTAATTTTAAAAGTATGTATCTATCTATCTCTGGGTGCTCCTTAAGGAGTTTGAGCATTTTCACATCCTTACTGAGACTGCTGTCAAATCAACGTGTTTTTCCAGGCCCTCAGTAGGGAAAGCTTAAGGAAAAGTGTGGTAGCCAGCTCTTCTCAGGTACTGAACGCAGGCCCCTTTGTTAAATAAAGTTTCAAGAGGAGTGCTGGAGTTTCTAGGATTGATGTAGTAGTTCTTATAATAAAAAAAATAAAAATAATGGTAGAAAGAGACTGTGGAAGCAGTATTACTGGAGGACTTTTCTAGTCCTTGGACCTAGAACTGGTGCAAATTAATTTTTCCTAACAAAAGGAGATGCACCACAACTGGTCTCTGGGAGAGAACTGAGAAGTGGTATTTTGGCACAGGTTATTTGCTGACTACTGTAAAACAATCTCTTATAATTTTGCTCAGTCAGAGCTTTGTATAATTAGATATAAAGCTGTCTTGACAGCTTATCTTTGCAAACACAAGGCTAGTGAAGTCTAAATCTTGCTTAAACCAAAATAAGAAGCTTTCAGAAGTCAGTTTTGCTAACTCTTGCAGCTATTTGCTTAGGCTCTCAACTTCAGTGAGGGGCTGTGTTACTGATGATCAGTGCACAAATTATACTCTCAGGAAATAATTTGCTTAGGAAAACCAAATCCTTGCTTCCTTTATGTTAAGTAAACATAATGTTTAGTATAATCGACCAGAATACTGAGAGGAGACAAAGTCTACCTAATGAAAATAAGCAATGCGTGATCTCAATCACTATGATAACACCTAGTCTTTTTATATAAAAAATAGTTGCATGATTTTTAGCTAGAAGTGAAAGAATTGAGTTAGTAAGTTTGGAAACTACTATCTGAGATGTTCTGAAGAGTTTGAATATGATGGAGCTGATTTAAAAAAGCAGATTAAAAAGCCATTGAAGTGCACAGGTGCTAAACCATATCACTGTAATTTGCATCATAAAAATGTCTTGGAAGCATTGTTTTTTCTCATGTTACCAAGATAATAGCAACTGCTCTCCTGAAGTGTTAACTTTCTGAGGATGGGGCAGGGTTCAGATTGCTGTAAAAAGAAAGTGATAGCTTTTAAGAGACTGTCTTAATGCAAAATATCTTATGGACTGGAGTGATATGCATTTGCCACTGAACTGGTGGAACAGTGGCTTGATTCAAAAGCTGAAAATCATTGTTTTGAGGCAGCGTGTACTCAGCTGTATTGATTTCAACTTTTAGAAAAGGAAAGTAGTACAGTAAGGGTGGCTGTTTGCTTTATTTTTGAGTGGTCTTTTAAAGAAAAGCCCTTAGATGGATTACAAAATTAGAATGCTACCTTTATATATTCAGCCTCAAAACTGCTAGTCCTGGTGCAGGATACCAGTTCCTTCCTGTGCTCTTTTTGTTAAACTTACTGGCAGTCCCATATGATGTTTGGCAAATCTATCCCCTGGTTGTGTTGGTTCCTTTTTTAGCCAAAAGTAAATAGAACAGGTCATCTCAATGAACTCTCTTGGCAGTGTTTCCAGGTACACATATTTACAGATCATTTAGGTTTCCATTTAGGAATGAGGAAGTTGGATTTAAACAATATCAAGAAGGCAAACAATAATCTGGAGAGGAAATTTCAAGTAGACTTAAAATAACCTTAATCCTGTGTACATGTGTGCTCTTAACTTCTTGATGTAGATTCCCTTCAGATGTGCCTTTTGTAGGAATATTTTTAATTGACAATAACCTTCCACTTCCTTGCTGACTCTTATATCCCTCCTCCCAGGATTAGACAGTCATGACAGTGGTATAATGCTGAATGTTCTCAAGGCTGTTTTTCCTTTCTGACTCTAGAAAACTACAAACCTAAAACAATGTTATAAAGAACACTGGCATGCTGTCCTTTGCATTCGTACATGAGAGAGTAGAGGCATGGCTAAGAGGAAATAACACTGAACTAGGTATGATGTCCCCTATGGATCCATAAGTCAATATTTGGGGCTGGAGGCGTCAGTAATGTGCTGGTCTGGAGGATGAGGTGCTTCTCTAATAATACTCAGTATCTGGCTTGCTGAAGGATGAATTGCACAGAGAAGCTGTAAAAATTCAAAAGTTCAGACTTCCATAATAGAATTATTTCCTTTTTTTGTTATTTTTTTATTTAAACATATCAATCCCTTCATTTGCTCTAAAACAAGTTCAGCCATAGCTGAAAAGTTCCTTCAACTTGAATGTGACTTAAATCAGCCAGAGCCAAGGAGAAGGAATTAAAGGGATACAATATGTAACAGTTTCTGTGGTGAGATGAAATAGTATTTCCATTCCATACTTGCTAAAAGTCCATATATAAATAGTTTTGGAGAAGACTATTCAGAATCCCAAAGGTGGCTATTCTTAGTACTGTTGTTCTTGTTATGTTAAAGTACTATTGGAGTACTGTGATTCTGTTATATTAGTCCTTTAACTATTATGTTTGAGTTGCACAAAAGTTGGGAGGATTTGAGCTGATATGTAAGTAAACTGGTTAACTATTTCAGATGCAAGGGATGATGCACTTAGTTAAAACTGTCTTTTCCCTGTTCTTTCCCAACAGAACAATACGAGTATGGCTGAAGAGAGACAGTGGACAATACTGGCCCAGTATCTATCACACCATGTCATGTAAGTACAATGCTGGAGATAGTAAGTGGTGGCCAAGCATGACATGGGTTTTATACCTGTGCTGTTGTGTGGGAATACCTCCTTCCCCTTTCTCCAAGTGTTGGATTTGCTCTATGGTCTTGAAATTGGGAACTTTGCAACAAGTCTGGCTCAGACTTTAGTTTGAAACTAGCTGTATAGTGGGTGAGATCTAAAGCAGCATTCTGTCTGAACCGGATCCTTCACCACATGAATCACTGTGTGGATCTGCAGCTGTAGATGTCTCAAATGCTGGCAAATAATTCTGTTGAATAAGTGACCTTTTCAAATGATTAGCTTTAAAGTTCAGGCATAAGAATATTCTGTGCTTTCCAATGTTGAAAGAACCAATCTTCTTTCTTCACCCTCCTCTCCCCTTCAACATTTAGATTATTAAGAAAACAGCACTGAGCAGCAGCTTCAGTGTTGAGTAAATCTTGAATGTCAGTGTGCTTTTTTGGTTTTGGAACATCAGTCATCCTGGGTGCTTTGCTGTAACTTCTTTAATGTCGAGTTGCTACCTGGACACATACCACATGTAAAAAGAAGGAATGCAATGGCAAAACAAAATATCATAACACAAAAGATAGTCTTTGGAATGACAATTCCTGGAGTAATTTCCATCCAAATGTTCAATGAAAACTAAAGAATTTGACTTCATGGTGTTCTATGCTGCCTTAGCTGCAGGCTCAGTAGCCTACTATCTAGGTTAAAAATATGAAGTGTAATCTTTCTTCTTTTTTTTTCCTAATAGTTGGTCTCAATTACAGCAATTGCTCCATTTATTAGTTTTTTAAAACTATTCAGATTGTATATATAAACCTACAAAGTTTTATGCAAAACAATGTCTGCCTGTAGGTAGTTCCAAGGGGTGGACTTGTCCTTATGCAGTATGACCGCTAATATTCTGGACTGTGCTGTCTGTCTTTAAATTTCTACAAACAGCTTCAGGGCCACATTTTCTGAGGGTCCTGGTGGAAGAAGGTATTGATTTAGAACACTGTGTCTTTTTCATCCTTGTAATTTGCAAGTTAAATGAACACATTCTTCAGTGAAATTTTTTGTGCAAAATTTCATTAGGACCCTTTATTGTATTTTTGTTGTCATTGCTTTTCACATCTATTTTAGCTCTTAATTTCAAAAAGGGAAGTAGGTCTAGAGGCTTTCTGCTAAAAAAGATTGTGTGTAATCTCAAAAACATAAGTCTCCTTAAAGTTGCAGATGTTGAGACAGGATTCCATATGAAGTTGACATGCAATTACCTATTTGTCTCTAGCACTTTATCTCTAGTGATACAGTCCTCAAATATACAGAACAGATTATTGTTATATACAACTTAGGGATCCTCTTGAGATAATTTTAGTGAGCTCAAGTTCTTAAGTGTAACCAGCAGCACATACTGTGGTTGCTAAGTTTTCAGCCTGTATAAAATTTCTCTTACTTGGTTGCATCCTGGGGCAGGAAATCATATTTGTGTATGTTTCCTAGTGATATATCTGAGCTACTGTAATAGTATTCCTTCCCTCAGCTTCACTATCTTACCAAGGGACGCTATCTATGGAGACTAATTTCAATCAGCTTTTGTCTTGAGTGGAAAAAAAAAAAGCCGTAAGTCGTGTATCCTAATGCCTCTGTTTTAATAACTCTTATGTCTGCCTTTTTTGACAGCACCATGTTCAGCCATGACTTATCATCATGACAGCAGAAGAATATTCGTAGGCCAGGATAATGGGGCTATCATGGTAAGCTGCTGTGACGTTTCTTCAGTATGTAGGTTAGAATTGCTTAGATTGTCTGTGAGCGTCAAGTGTTGCTGGCAGCTGATAATTCATTTTCTTTCCTTTGGTTTTGGAATGCAAATACTACTAAATGGCTGAACTTCTTGGCAGTTCATCTGAGATGTACATGGGAGGACTGCAGATTAGCAGGGGCTCTTCTGGCTAGATATGAGCCAGCTACCCTCAAGAAGTCATTGAGCCATTAGTGCAGCAGTGGACCCAAACAACTGTACTTCATCAAGGAATTATTTTGAGGGATACATTAAGCTGGGCAGAGTGCTATGGGGCTGTACTAACAGTGGATGTGAACTGTAGCTACCTTGCATCTGGCCAGAAGTATGGATCTGCTTTTACCTCGCCATGCACGTTTCTCTGGATTCTCTTGCTGCAGATCTTTTTGTGGTATGGAAATTTCAACACTACTTCTAAAATGACAAGAGGCAGGGCTGGTTTCTTTCTGGGAGTTCTTCTGTCTTTTTATACCATCATTGTAATTGCTTTCATCCTCCTGGAGAGCAGATGCATATGGCAGAATAGAATGTGGGTCTGTATTCTTCCCCTCTTTCCTTGGCAAAGGAGGGGAATCTTGTGACTCTCAGATGCTTTAATGGTTTCCTTTCTCTGTGAAAATAAGACCAAAATCATAATTGCCTTATAAGGAAGGGCATGGGGTACTGCGTGAGTGTCATAAATAGTGATTCTGCTGATAAGTAGGTGTGAATTGCCTACACAGAACTACAGAGAATAGTGATTCTAGTGACAACTACTTGAAATTGTAACCTGAGACTTTTAAAATTTCAGTAATGTATCAAATAGAAAATACTCTAACTTAAATATGTTCATTATGAAGTCTCAGATACTTAAATCAGAAATACTACTACATAAAGTTTTGTTTGTTCCTGCCGGGGCCACTCTTTCTTCCTTTATTCTTCCTTCAGCAAACTTGATACTGAGGTACGCTTGATGCTGAAAGGATGCTCCCTATTGAAAATGAAGTTCACTAATTACTTCAATTTACAGTTGGTGTGTCAGTGCGCTATGCTCCAGCCTCAGAAACTGCTAGTTTTTACTGAGATATGTATGATATTTGCTATGCAAATTCTGGCCTTTGAGGTTACTGTTCTTTTTTGGGATATCAGTATTGCTTATGTTACTATGGTATCTTTTCTTATGGTTCCACTTTGCCTTTAGGAATTTCATATTTCAGAAGACTTTAATAAGATGAACTTTGTGAAGACTTATCCAGGTAAACTCTTAACCACTGTTTACACTCAGATTTGCATGAAGAGATGGCATCTAAAATGCTTGGGGAAATAGGACACCATCACAGATTAATCAAGCCCAAACATGCTTTAAGTCTGACTGACCTTCTAGATGTCACTTAGTTGGGATAACTGCAGTAAGAAAAATGTGTTATTGAGTAATCCTCTGTCAGCTTGCAATCATTGAGTTCAGTACATCATTAGTCTGCAAGTGTAATGAGCCAGAACTAGTGAGTTCATCTTTGGCTCTTCAACTGTAGCTCTGTTACATGAGTGTTAGGGTAAGAGCTTTCTAAAGGCACATATTGGTATTTGCAATTTTCATCCTTACTTTCCATATTCACTGAGCTTGGTTACTTGTAGGTGAAGGTAAGAGTCATTGCTGTCTCTGTCGTCTTAGGAGAGAAGTAGGGATAAAAAAGATCTAATTTTTCTGGTACATGGGGAATAGGGATTGTTCTTCATGTACTTATGGAGACGCTAATTTCAGCATTTATCTGCACATCATTTAAAGAAATACAAAACTCAATGGCTGGTTTAAATTGGAATATTCATGTGAAAGGCTCGATGGAGACTCTTAAAGACTGCAGATTATGTAGCAAAACAAAGTGCAGTTTGTCTTATGACTCCCTGACACTGATAGAAGCAATGTTCTTGGTTAGGAGAAAAAGACCTTGTTTTTAAAGCAACAAAAAAACCCTTTATCCTAAGGAAGATGACTTGACAGCTCAGTCAAGGAAATTGCTTGTATCTTGGGGGCTGGGAGGCTTCTTTCTGATGTTTATAGCTTCTTGCTTAGTGTCAGCTTTCTAAACAGTTGGGTGGGATTTGGTTGCTATCACAAGTAGTAGTTTGAATGACATGGACTAGATACACTTTCAGGTGCTTAAAAACATGAGTGTGAGCATAGCTCCCCTGGGGTCAGGAGAAGGAGGCACTTGAAGAAAGCAGTTAGGGTTTTTAGATGTGTTACATTACTCCTAGAAGTCCTGGCCTGACTAGAGGAAGCTGAAGATTTGCCTGCTTCTTGAACAGAGCATCTTGGGTATCTGGGCTGACCTCAGTTTCTGTCTTTGTGGGAGAAAGACTTAAATTAGCTGACTGACATGTTTGGTTCACTTAAGCTATTCAGAAAGCAACTACCAAACAGAATAATGCTAACCTTTTAATTTGGCTTAGAGGCAAGTATAACATAACTGTGAAAGCATCTCCCTGGGGCATTGCTTAGGTATCATCTTCAACCTATGTCTCTCTGAATTAGAACATAAGAACACATCACTTTGAGTTTTAGGAAAAACTAGCCAGAATCCTTTTTTTCCCACAGCTCATCAGAATCGAGTGTCTGCTATTACTTTTTGCCTGGCGTCAGAGTGGGTTATCAGCACCGGTCATGACAAGTGTATCAGCTGGATGTGCACCAGGAGTGGGAGTATGTTGGGAAGGCATTATTTCACCTCTTGGGCTTCATGTCTACAATATCCTTTGAAAAATGATTGTGACCCTGAAACTAGAGAATATTTTGTTCTTTTAGCTCAGTCTATTCCCTCCTTTTCATATAAGAAGCTAGAATGAAGTATCTAACATGTCTGCAAACCTGATTAGATGTTTAATACCTTTATTTCTGTTAGCTGTTGTTAGTTAGTAGGAAGGGGGTGTTGTGACCTTGAGTTACAGAAATCACAGTATGTACTAGTTCCTAATTTTGAAATGTTTGTAGCATCTTGTGACAGTGACTTAACTGTCTGTAGTCTGGCCTGTATACTTCCTAGGCAAGTTGCTTTGTTCAACAGATGTTCGTTTGCATTTGAGTCCTTCAAGAGGATAAAACATCATGAAAATCCTTTGCTTTAATTTTTCTGTGTTTGCTTATATTAATCTTTTCCATTTTTAAGCTATGGGGTACTTTGAAACTGTATTCATTATTAGTAGTGATTTGTCTGTGTGCAGTTTCCTTTCCTGCAGATTGCTTTTAACTGCAACATTTGTAGTTTAAGAATTCCAGTTGTCTCTTCAGTTGCAAGTACTTCAAGCCATTCTTTATCCTGCATAAAAGAATTACAAACCCAGTAGCTTGCAGTAGTTCATATGTCGTGAGCATGAGTTAAAAACTCATAAGCAAAACTCCTAAGCATGAGTTAAATATATTCTGAAACTATTTTTAGGACTTGTTAATGGTGGCGGTTTAGATGTGGCTGGATAGTAACTGGAGGGACTGGTTGGTGTATGAAGATAAATGGCAGCAATGCAGAAGTGGCATGATTCAAAAGCTGAACTACATCTGTTGAAAAAATAACGACCTCTCTAGAACTGTAATATGCCTGTGTAGTGTGAAGAAACTAAAAGGAAAGCTAACTGCTTGGTTGCCAGCAGCAGATCTAACCTTCTGAGGCCCTGCCATACTGACTGAAGAGCTGACTGACAGGTTTGTGTTGTTGCATTGTTCCTCTTTTTTGCTGTCCTTTGAGGTTGCGTCCCACAAAATATTTCATGTACACCTCACCTCAGCTGCATGCAGCACACAGTGGCGTTAATATTGGTGTGTATGTTAGGAGAATAGAACTGAACTGAACTTCTTTCCTGTTAGGGTGGTGAGGCACTGGAATGGGCTGCCCAGGGAGGTTGTGAATGCTCCGTCCCTGGCAGTGTTCAAGGCCAGGTTGGACGAAGCCTTGGGTGAGATGGTTTAGTGTGAGTTGTCCCTGCCTGTGGCAGGAGGGTTGAAACTTGATGATCTTAAGGTCCTTTCCAACCCTAACCATTCTATGATTCTATGAACTGTCTGGTGCCTCTGAGTCTCACTATTTGAATTCAGTGGGTTCTATAGCTAATACTATTGCAAATAATGGAAGAGTGTATTATGAAAATGGAGGAAAGAATATGACCTTTTCTATTAAGATAAAAATAAATTTCCACTGAAGACTGTAACATTTGAAAATGCATTGTAGTTTATCCTGCCTTTGGATTTATATTCAAAAGAACTAGGTTTCTGGTGTGTGTACTAGCTGCTGGCCTTCCTATCAGGAGCTTCCTTAGGAGTTATTAATGATCCCATGTGTAAACTTCTGAAAACCACAGCAGAGTGCTTATTCTTTACTGGATTAGTGGGGATAATGCTTGCCTGAATTTCCAAGATGAAGAAAGGATCACATGGTCACAGACTTAGTGGATTTGTTGAAAGTGAATTATTATCTCAAAATTCTGAAGGCTGAAGAGATTTCAGAATCTCATCAGATGTCAAAACTTCTGTTTTTTTCACTTATGGTGATGGGCTTTTTGGTACATTGACTTTTTAAAGTTTAGTCTTTTCTGTTGTGTAGAGCAGGCTACTCTGCTAGCCGCTGCTTGTGTGGCTCCAGAAGGACAGGTGAGATTATACACAACTCTTGGGTTCTGTGGTATCAGCTGTTTGGGGTTTTCATAGCTCTTGCATATATCCTGAATATCAAAAGTCTTGTAAAGGTGGCAAATTATCTAGTTCCATACAGCTTGCTGTGCTTTAGTTTCTGGAGATGGTAGTTATATATTTGCAAAACCTGAATATCAGAAAACTGTTATGATGTATAAGATAGCCCATTATGCCATTTTTTTAGTAGATTACATGTTAGGGTGTGGTGTGCTTTTATGTCACTGTTAAGTAACAGAACTCTTTCACAAATTCATTTCAGTCTTTGATACTGTGCTCAAGGACCTGCATTAGTAAACTTGAAAGTTCAGAAAAGGGAACAAGAAATTACATGGTCTCACCTTCTCAGTAGCTAGAACATTTGGAGTATACTTCTACTGTAAGGTAAACTACCTGTAGAGGGTCAGTGTTACTGTATCTTAGTTTTCTTATCCTGAGGACATCAACTAGTATAACGTGCCAGAAAACTTAAAGTCTAAAGGAGCAAATGGTAGCACTGGGTAAGACTGAATGCCCAGTGAGGTGCTCAGTGAGTAGCTCTGCACTACAAGAAGTAGCCTGGGGAACTCTGGCATTGCTCATAGACCATGAGTGCGTTCTGTAAATAGCTGCTAGAAATGGTCTAAATCATCTTGTCCTGCCTTAAAAAAGGGGTGAATTACCTCATGGCTTCTCCAGTGGCTTTCTAAAACTTTTACCCGCTTGTTTTCCATGCTGTTTTACATGCAAATGTAGGGAAGTGTGAGGAGAAGAGAGGAATGAAAAAGTTTTAACTATTAAGGTCTCCATCCTGTTTAGAAGTAGTGCCCCTCCTCACTGGCAGAGCATGAGAGACTGAAAAGCCCTTGATCAGGGTAAGCATTACTTAGCAACAACTAAAACACTGGTGTGTTCTCAGACTAAAGTTGAAAACACAGCACTGCCCCAGCTACTAAGAAGAAGAAAAATAACTGTTACAGCTGAACCCAGGACAGGTAGTTATAGAATCATAGAATAGTTGGGGTTGGAAAGGACCTTAAGATAATCAAGTTCCAACCCCCCTGCCATGGACAGGGACACCTCACACTAAACCGTATCACCCAAGGCCTCCTCCAACCTGGACTTGAACATTGCCAGGGATGGAGCATTCACAACCTCCCTGGGCAACCTATTCCAGTGCCTCACCACCCTAACAGGAAAGAATTTCCTCCTTATATCCAATCTAAACGTCCCCTGTTTAAGTTTTAACCTGTTACCCCTTGTCCTGTCACTACAGTCCCTAATGAAGAGTCCCTCCCCAGCATCCCTGTAGGCCCCCTTCAGATACTGGAAGGCTGCTATGAGGTCTTCATGCAGCCTTCTCTTCTCCAGGCTGAACAGCCCCAACTTCCTCAGTTTAAAATTATGTAAATATTTATGTGGCATATTAAAATTTTTTATTTTTTTTTTTCCCAACTTGTTTAAACTCTGTAGCAGACAACTGTGCTATCTATTTCAGTTCTGTAAAATGCTCATAAGATCACATGAGGCTTCTCCTTGACTGGTGTGCAGATATGATCATGAAACCCGACATGCATTCGTTGGTGATTATTCTGGACAGATCACTCTCCTGAAGCTTGAGCAGAATACATGCTCAGTTATCACAACGCTCAAAGGGCATGAAGGTAGAGTAACTCTTCCTCTTAATTCCACTTGACTGAGATTATAGTACTCCTTTGTAAATTGGGATTATGAAGTTTGATGTCTGGCTTGTAAGGATAGACTTTGGGTAAACAACTAGTGCAGGGTAGTAGTTATCAGAAGCTGTTTAGAGCTGTACATATGACTTCTTTAAGAAGAGACATGTTCTTGTGAGGGGAAATCTTAGCTGTGTGAATAATGTAAATACTGATGTATTTACATATTTGCAAATATGTAAATACTGATGGGTATTTTTATTACAGATGAAAAATAAACATATGCATTCAGTTAAATAGAAGTTATCCACTAGATGGCCACCTTTAAAAACTTTATTCTCCCTACCATTGAAAAGAAGGGATGAGAACATAGGGTCTTCTTGGTTGTTTTTGGTGTTTGGTTTTTTTTCCCGGAGACCTTCTAGTACTATAATAATACCTAGCAACTCCCAGTCTAGCTTCTAAAAAGACACTTAATTCTGCTCAATACAGACTTTGTTGTTCTGATCACTCTCTATGAGGCTCTAGTTTAGTTTCCTATGTTTAGCTGAAACTAAGCTATATGCAAGAAATCTAGAGAGCCTTTTAGAATCAGAACTGTCTAGTGAAGTACAGACATCTCATCCCATGTAGTATAGCTGAAGTCCTTACATCAAATGAAGAACTAAATGGTCTGTAACATGATACAGAGTCACTCTCTGATGTAATGAGTAAGGCAAGAATGCAAATCACAGACAAATGCGCAATTTAATAATATACTGAGAGAAATAAACAAGACTTAAGGCCTCTTCCCATGTGGTACTGGCAACTTTCAAATCAGCTGACTAGTTTGCATTTGGGTAGGGGTGAATTACTCAGAATCATGAGTCTGATCCACTGGAAAAGGCTGCCTTGTTTAATAGCTGTAAGTATAGAATAGACTTTGTTAAAGCTGAGTAGGCTCCTGACTTACAGATGACTGTAAAATTATCATGCTGGGTTTGAATGCAGGAGGCAAGTCAAGATTTTCAAATGATAAGTGCCTCTTCTGCTTTCAGCCAGGATTTCAGATTACTTCATTAAGAGCAAAATAATTCTCTTGGTCCTTTACCTCTGTATGCTTTTGCACTAGTCTGCTCAAGTGCAACTCCTTAAGTCTGAAAGCAATATGTCTTGACATGGCACTGTGTGTATTCTGTCTACTGCTTCTAAGCACCAGCTCCAGCGTGTAGCATGTAGCAGACAACTTTGGCTTATATGTAAGTTCCCATCTGTATGGAGATTGTGATCCTCAAAACAAGAATTGATTTAGTATAAAAGATGATTAAATATGAGAGGCAAAACTAGGTTTTTCTTGAATGGGTGTAATAGTAGCTACTTTTTTTCCTCCACAGTATTTGGGTAATACTCTCAAGGTCTGGTAACTCTAAACTTAAATGGCATCTGTTTCTTCTCTGAGTGCAACTTTGTTTGCCAGACCTCAAGTCTGACTTCATTTCATTTCCTTTCTAGCTCTTGCGTTACTGTGACTTCATAATCAAGCAGTGTCTGCTTTGCAGTTTAAACGTTTTTAGAGCTTGTCCTTCAGTGGGCAGCTACTTTTTATGCTGCAGATGTCCACTGTGCTCTAATACAGCTATTCCAAGATGGATCAGTCTCAAAAAGTCTAGTCCTAAAGGGGGCAAGAATAATCTTTTGCTCCAGAGACCTGGAAGGGACTGATTTGGGCTGTAAACTACCATTCATCATACTTTCAGGCTAGCAAGATCTTTTATGAAAAAAACAAAACAAAACAAAAAAACCCCAACAACCAAACAAACAAACCAAAAGCCCAAACCTGAGCAATGGAAGGATGCTTTAAAGGAAAGGATGTCAGGAAGGGAATAAAATGTTCTTGCAACTTCAAAACTATAGGTGGTATGAGTAACAAAATTAATTCTTTAGTCTCCTGCCTACATTGCAATATCTATGGATTTAGTATAAGACTGCTATAGTAAGATGACTGTCTGAATAATGGGCTTCGCAGCCAGGTTGGGCCTTCTGAAATCTGGTTTTGCAATGTAGTATGTCGTGGCCAGATTTGCTAACAGCACTGAAACTGTCCCTTAGTTTCTTATTCCAACTATTACAACTTTTAAGGTTGTAAATAGTTATGTAACGGAGTTGGTTTAGCTGTGAACACTGCATGCTGTTCCGAAACTGATGACCAAGCACCTTACTGTGTAGTAGATACTAGTTTCTACTTGGCAAGGTTTAATACTTTTCACCTTCCAAAGATCACATTAGCCTGCCAGCTCTTAAAACCAACTACCTAAATACAATGGGCAGAAAGACAGTAACTTAAACTTTCTGACTTATGATTTGAATTAAACCTTCTTCTTAGGAATGTTTTGTTGTTAAATGCCCTTTGTCTCTCTGAGAAGATTGTATCTTGCTGTTGCATGATGTTGTTTGCCTTAGGGCTTTCAGTCGCTGTTGCTGTAGTAAGGGACTATTTCAGGTTTCACTTTAATGACCCAGAAGAGCATCACTGTGCTGGGGAGTGACTCCCTTAGATCTAACTGCAGAATGTTCTTTCCTAGGAAGTATTACTTCCCTGTGGTGGGATCCAGCTCAACGACTGCTATTCTCAGGTGCCTCTGATCACAGCATTATCATGTGGGATATTGGTGGAAGGAAGGGACGAACACTGCTGCTTCAGGGCCATCAGTATGTAATGGGGTCTTATTTTTCCTACATGTTCCATAATGAACACAGAGTCCCAGGAAGAGTAAATAGCACAGCAAAATATATGAATGTGAATAAGAGAGAAAATAATTTCTTGCAGAACTCTGAAGAGGAAGAAAGATAGTACTAGGATAGTGTTACCGATAAATCTTTATTTTTGCTCATGTTAGATACTTTTAAACCATGGTTAACAAGAACATAACATAAAAGTAGGTTATAGGAAAAAGGTGGATAAAACTCCTAAATCATCTTGTTTGGACTTTGTGTAAAAGTTGCATGCTTCTATATTGTAAATACTTCACTGAGTTGCCTATGAAGTTGGGGCTAGAAACTATGTATATGTGTGTTGATGCACCCATGTAGAATAAACTTCACTATTTTCCTGTTCCCAGCCATCTTCTCTCAGTGAGGTGGTACAGTGATTGGCTATATCATAGAGGTGGTGTCTTGACTTCAGAAAAGTATGTTACATCTCCACTTTTCTGTGGATAAAGTACTTAGTTGTCTGTATTAAATCAAGTCTTTATTTTTACAGAGACACAACACTAGCTGCCATTTTTTAAATCTAGGGCCTTAATTACATCTTACTGGCAGTTCACCACCGAAGACATATTTTACTTTAGAAATGCAGTGGTAGTAGAGATCTTGTTTATGTTTAAACATGTATTTGTATAGTGCATTCTCCTCTTGTCTAATTCCATAGATGTCTCCATCCACCTTTGATCAAGACTGATAGCCTTAGCCCTAGAACCCTTGTTAAATCTTGAGGATTTAGTTTTATGGGTAAAGAACTAATTAATAGAGTACCGGTTACAAAAAGGTAACTGAAGTCAGTGACTGGAGGACTTTATACTGCTGTTACTGCTGCATCATGTGTCCTGGTGAAGACTTGTAACACTGTTAGTTTCTCTTCAAACGTTCCACTTAGCATCAAACTTCATACTGAATGGGAAAGTAAGTTCTTCTGAGTAGCAGAATGGGTTTTTTTAATTCAACTTGGATGTTGCAAAGCAGTCTAATACTGCTGAGATCCTTTGTGTAGCATCTTCGGGTAGACTCTTATTTTGCCATGCCTTTATTTAGGATTAAATTGTCTTATTGGTGAATGCATGCTTTGCTTTGCAGCTACAGACTTACTGTGATTTGTTGCAAAAGTGGAAGCTCCATCTACTTCCTAGCTGTATCTTGAAGCAAATATTTCTTATTATTTTTCCAGTTGTCTCTGTTTTGATAACTGGCTTTCCTTGCCAACACAGAAGAGTATTTGCACGCACACTGAGGCAGTTGACACTCAACTCACTGTCAGTGCTTACTGCCAGCAAATGTTAACGTGGAACTGTACCTCTGGTATTCTGGTCAAGCCTGTAAAAATGCTGTTCTAGGCAATGTCCTGATGCTAGGGCAATGCTCAGGTGACAGCATCTGTTCACTCATCTTCATGGCTCTACTTAGTAGACTTACCAAAGTGTTTGGAAATAATTTTTGGCTTTCTAGGTAGCTTTAAAAGGATAAATCAGGGTTTGCTGGGAAACTAAGCTTTGTTTAAATACCTGTGGGTAAATAGTGTCTACTTTGTTTGCAGTGACAAGGTGCAGGCTATCTGTTACATACAGCTGACACGACAGCTGGTGTCTTGTTCAGCTGATGGGGGAATTGCTGTTTGGAACATGGATATCAGCCGAGAAGAGGTAAGATCATAACCAAGGTCAAAGATTTCTTTCTACTTTCTTTTTACTTAATTTTCTCTTTAGCCTCCCCCTCTTTTTTAGACCTGATGTGGCTTTCCTTAGTCAGTTCTCCAGGCTGGTTTTCTTACATTACCTGAAACTTTAATGCTGAATCATATCACTAAAGACTGCTGTTCTAGTGTCTGTCCATGCACTTCAGAATGTAGAGATTCAGTCCCCACAGAGCATTTCTTTAAAGACCTTAGTACACAGAAACTGAGCCTGGCTTGCAGATTCTTTTTGTGTCAGTTCATATCCAACATAGAAGCTAAAAATAAATATATTACTCCTATTTTTGGTTAAACTGTAATTATAGGAGTTAGTTTTGGTTGCTGCCATAAAGCAGTATTTAAGGCTCAGCTCTATTGCTATTCCTTAAATGCAAGTGTCATGGTTAAGAACCATTTTCTTTTCACCTGAAACACACTGGATGCTGTATGTGAAGCTCGTAACATTTCCAGCATGATCTCTCTTCAAATTGTCTGTGATATTATGAAACTTTGTAATTGTAAAGAAATTGACTTACAATACAACCGGGAAAACAAGATGTGTCTATGTCTCTTTTGGATCTGCACACAATAATTAAGGGATCTTGTAAATAATAGACAGTTTTAATACAAGTAAAATAATACAGTTAGCTTAAAACAGCCATGATATCTCAGAAGTCATTGGAAAAACATAATCAAGCCCAATCCAAAAGCAAAGAAACTAAATGTTTGAAGAATGAAGAACATACTTCCTCTGAAGTACTAGCTAGTGAGTTGTGTTATAGGGTATCTTCAAATATGCAAATGAGACTAGAAGGAAGACTTTTTTTGATTAGAAGGAATGTTAACTCTGCTGTCAGTGTTACTATGATCTCAATCAGTTCCAACTGTATGTTGGTAATAATGTTGGCAGGTTTTTACCTCCTATTTTATGCTGAAATGAAGATGAAAAGGTCAGGAAGATATCCTGTTTTTCTGTTAGAGGGAGCCAGAAACTGGATTGTCTTCTCAAAAATGCTGTTAAGTGAAAACTCTTAAGTAACTGAAAGAAGCAATATGGAACATCTCACTTGGGGGAAAGGTGACTCATTTCCTCTACTCTGCTTCCCACCCCCCATGCGAGACTTGTTACTACCCTTTACAGTATTTTCCACTAGTGTGGAGGAAGGAAGGGGATGCAATCAAGGTTGAAGATGTAGGAAATGGACATCTGGTATTAATAAATATTCATGGTGAGATGGTGATGCATCTGACAGTACTATTGTTTTATTACTATCAACAATGGATTTAAGTGAATTTAGGAGAAAAGCTTTGTTGTCCAGCTTTCTTCCTGTCAGGGGAGTCTCCCTGAAACCCATCAGATGTATAAGGATGTATAGAATATACATGGTCTAATTCAAGTCTGTGTACTAAAAGTATTGTGCCTCTCCTCCTATTCCTTACAAGGGTGCTCAGTTAAAGTATCTGAGATTGTTAAAATGTGTGAAAGCTCTTAAGGATTTTTATTTGGCCTAGTCCATTTATGGCAGGAATAGTATGTTGGTGGGAGAAGGGATGCTTAATGAAAGTGTGAGCAGGATGGGAAATGCACATGAGTTCTTAATTATTTCAAACTGCCATCCTAGGGATACAAAATATATTTGCTTCCAGAATTTACTTCTGGACCCTGTCTCTTCGAGAGGATGACTGCCTCATATCCTCTAGTTTGGATTACACAAGCCCTTAAAAATCATCTGGTCAACCAGAGCAGCAGTCTTTGAATGCCTGTAGTAAATTTAATAACTTAGATGTTTAAATTAGGTTTCTTACTAAGGCAGTAACATAACACACTGCTGTAGGCTTAAAAAGTATAGGAGGTATGTAGGTAACAAATAACTGTAGTCTTGAATTTGAAGTCTTGGCTTTTGTACTAAGCTTCCTATGTACTATACCTTAGGCAATCTATTGTTGTAATGTCCAGAGCTGAGACAGGGCATCTTTCCAAATAAAACTTTACTTTGTGTTCTTTGGCTGTTGTATGAGGAAAAATAATTCTCATTGCTTATATCTCTTGCTCTTTTATAGGCTCCTCAATGGCTAGAAAGTGATTCCTGCCAGAAATGTGAACAACCTTTCTTCTGGAATATAAAGCAAATGTGGGACACAAAGACAATAGGGTTGAGGCAGGTGAGATTGCTATTTTGCGTGCTCAGCTTTATTTCAGCACTTAAGCAAAATGCAAACAAGAAACTACTAAAGCTGTTAGATCTTTTAAACTGTTGGTATTTGTGCTGCTTTGAAGTGAGGGTTTATTGAGAGGTCACAGCTTCTAGGCAGTGCTAAGAAATTTCCAGATTCTGCGGAAAGTATTACATCAAACTTCCATCATGGGGCAAAGCAGGCTGTGTTGTCAGCACTTTGTTGGATTTCTCTGAATATCTCTATGCTCTGAATATATGCACTGGAACTGTGGACAGCTAATCCTTAAGCGTTGTGTAAAGCAGCACACAGTGCCCCATAACTGAGCAAGTTGCAGCCTAACATTGTAGGGTTCTGGGTTCAGTGAGGCAGTGATGGCCCTGTTCTTACAGTCTGGAACATAAAAGTTTTGCAGATAGCTTTCTTTTTGGAGGAACTGGACAGGCACTAAGGCACTTACCTGTTTCTGACTTCCTTAGACTATTATTTTCTCGGTTGCTTATTCAACCCTTTTTTTCCCCTGCTCCCAGAAGGAGCTTGCAAAAAGAGGAGAGGATGGTCAGGGACAATATGGAGGTAAACCCATTAATGGCCAAGAAGATTGTACAGAACTCCAGACTCCTTGGTCTTTGACCTAACAGAAAACTTCCTAACAGGTTGCTTCCTAACAGGATGCAAAGCAGAAGCTGTCTTGGTTTTGTTCAGTGAGTGCTTGGTAAGTGTCATAACAATAGGTATTTGTTTGTTTTCTTCTTCCTCCATGAAGCATCATTGCAGAAAATGTGGGCAAGCAGTGTGTGGGAAGTGCAGTAGCAAACGGTCAAGTTACCCAATCATGGGATTTGAGTTCCAGGTCCGTGTCTGTGATTCCTGTTTTGAGTCAATCAAGGATGAAGAGTGAGTATTAAAGAATAATAAACTAAAGTAATACTGCTGAGGTACAGAAATGCTTGTGCTTGCTCCATATCCACACACAATGCTACACTGTGTGACTGTTAACCCTCTGCTGCTAAGCCACCTTTTCCTTGGGCACTCAAAGCACTACAATAGCAGAGATCCCTCAGCTGGCACTGCAGACTAATTTGGATTAGATGTCTACTCTATTTCTTATTTTCCGTGAGCCCAGATCTAGAGCTGAAACATTTGTTTCAAGATTTCTGTTTAGCTAAAGGCTATTGATGGCACGTGGATTAGTAGTTCATGTATACTTACTGAAAACTGCTTCTATGGGGATATTCTTCACAGCCCAACATTATTTTTCCCATGCAAGCAAATTGGGTTAAACATTGTTTGCTCTCTCATTAAACTGTTTTTAGCAATGGATAAACCCTGTTATTATCTTGATAAGAACAGCACTTCACTGTCTTGTCATCTCCTTGGACACATGGTGTGCTAAAGAACCAAAGTAACCATATGCCAATTTTGGGAGTGTTCAGGGTTTTTTTTGTTATGGTGGTGGTTGTTGGCTTGGGGGTTGTTTTTGTGGTTGACTCACTATAGCCAGAGGAAAAATGTAGCTGAACTTGACTTAATAACCAAGAGTAGAATTATTTACTAATGTGCTGTCCCACTTCTGCCCTGGTATTATTAACAGGTTGCAGAAGACTGGGAAATGTCACACCTCTATAACTACACAAGCAATGCCATAGTATGACTTACTAATTTAATTCTGTCCCTTTTAACATGGCACTGCAGTTTTCAGGACTGATTTGTTAGTCCTTGAGCAACTTTATTTTCTTGTAAGTTTATTTTGCACTGCTATAACGATGCCATCAAGCTTCATCTGACAGCTAGCTTTCATTTGAATTGTTATCGTGCAGCCGTACTTCCTTGGCAACCTTTCATGAAGGAAAACACAACATTTCATACATGTCCATGGACATCTCCAGAGGGCTAATGGTCACTTGTGGGAGCGACCGGATTGTGAAGGTATTCATGTACCTCTTTCCTGCATTTATTAGAGATACTTAATAGAGGACTAATGTTTGTATATACTTTTTTCTTTCTGACAGCTGTTGCTACAAAGTTAAAACAAGGTCAGCAAGAATCCTATTTGTTGCAGGCTGTTCTTCCTGCAGCTGAGTGACAGTCACCTAAAGTGACTCCACTTTATGGAGTTTAGCTGTCAGAGCTGGAGTGTCCTCTGGGCAAACAAAGCAGTAGGAGAATGGGCCAGCAGCCTTAAAGGCACAGATGGGATGAAGCAGACTTCCTTAACTCTGAACTCCCTGGCTTCTTGGACCATTGCAACTTAAAAGCCCTGATTATGAGACAGGGACATGGAAATCAGGCTGAATATAGAATCTTGATGTGCTTCAGCTGTCCATCCACCATGCGTGTTAGAACTGAGACTATTCCAGTCTACGCTGGTTTTGTGTAAGCCTGTTTGTAACAAACTGCATAGCACTTTTTAAAACACACCTATAGAGAGCTGCTACAAGGCTCTCTTGAGCCCAGAGTTTGACTTTAGGTTTGTAAGGCTGGTGTAACTGGTTGGCATTTTTCTCAAGTAGTTGCTACTTTGTCTCCAGGGAGGTATCTATGTTTGCTTTTGTGCTTCTTACAGAAATACCCCTTGGGTCTTACAATAATGCTGCATAATTCTCTACAATATTTTCTTCCAGATCTGGGACATGACACCAGTAGTTGGTTGCAGCCTTGCAACTGGCTTCTCTTCACGCTGATCTCATACATGACAGGTTTATGCACCTTATGTACAGCAATATACACCGAACAGATGGAATTCTTCTTACGATTATTACTGCAAACACTGGCTGCTTGATTCTTCTCCTGCTGCTGTTCCAGGATGGACAGTCACGTTTGTTGAGCACGGCTTTTCTGTTGGGCTCACCAGGAATCTCCTTGGTGCGGAAGTGCAGTTTTGCAGCCTCTTGGACTAACTTAAAATGGCTACTGGCAATATGACCCCTTGATGAAAGGACCTGTTGTTTCTCAGTTTACATATATAGTGTTAACAGTGTGCTATCTCTGCTGATAAATCTTGTACAGATACCTTGTAGCTAAACCATTACCTGAGTAAAACGAGTGTAGTAAATGCAATTTGTGCAAACAGTAAAATAACTTATTCTCTCTTCCAAAAAGCAGTTCTGTAGAAATATGTTTGAGCAGTCACTGTCTAAACTGCCTCGAAAAGGTATGATGGTTATTCCTATGGAAGGAGGAAAACTTCAAAGCAGCACATAACTTCTTTCAGATGAGATAGTTGGAGAACCTTTGATCACACAAGATTTCCTTTATTGGCTTTCTTGTAGTGTTTGTCTTCAAGCTCATTTACTAGTGAAATCACTTTTGTGGGTCAGCTGTTTTATTTAGGTAGCTGGTGAGGCTTTGAACAATTCTAGGCTCTTTAGGTAGTGTTTTAGCATAGCTAATAAACTTCTCTCATTCTTATGAAAACATGCAGCCCAGCTACTCTACTCTAATGACAGGCTGTAGGTATGACCCATATAATTTGACAACTCTGTAATGGTGTTAGAATGGGAAGTTAAGCAAGTCTGCCTTGTCAGATATAACGGCCAAGAAAATATGGCCAGCTAAATTTTAGAGACTTTTTTCCCATGGAAAGGCTGATGTTTCTTTAATGGTAGGGAACTGACTCTGCTAAAGTGTGGCACAAATTCAGATGCTACCTTGATGTTGCTTGAAATGGATAAATACAGAGCAATAATTACTGAGGTACAGAACAACTGCTTTTTTTCCCCCTGCACTTAAGTGTGTTGATCCCAAAATACTTATTGTTGATTGTTTCCTGTTCGAAAGCGGAGAAGTATAAAGTAGAACTGGGAGGGTTTTGTGACTGCAGTTGGCACATACAGGAAATAATTATTGAGATACTGTCAATAAATTGGTGTGTCAGCTGTGTGAATTTCCTACATTTGAACACTGCAAGAATTTACTTTGAAGCTTCTGAAGCTGAGGTAATACGTCACAGTTTTAAGCTTGGAGCTGTTTAGATATTTCTGAAGACAGAAGCATATGTGTGAGGACAAAAATTGTGGGTAGGTCAGCTGGCCTGGAATACATGGTGTTGCACAACCGTCAAAGGTAATAGGCTCTTTCTGGCAGAGGGCTTAAAGGTTAGATTGTCTTTATTTACAGCAACAATCAAGTGGTGCTATGAGTGTTGGTGAATTCAAGTCCTGGGTGTGTAACTTGACACTAATAATCTGCACTGGACCATGCTGTAGGCTGAAATAGACAAAGATCATGGTGTTGTTAATATGTCATGATTCACTTGCATTTTAAGCCAAAAAACGGATAGTCTCCAAAGGGCATTAGAATCTAGAGTATGTTACTGTTATTTTGAATCTGGCTTTGTCTGCTTTTTGATGGGCCTTCTCTGGAAGTTTGGCAAAGAGTCTTTTTAATTTGCTATGCTTATTGGGCCACTGAAGAATAAATAAATCCCTCTTTTGTGGGCATCCCAAAACTTACCCTCAGTTTGGGATTGGAAACTTGTCATGCTTATTTGACTCATGCCTTGCTACATGCTGTATAGCTTAGTGGGTTTTGTGAAGGCTTATTTCTAAGCTATTGAAAGCAAATCAGCTTATACTGGAAAAAAAATGTTGCAGCTTTCTGCACTGAAGGCCTTCACCCTTGTAAATTAGAAAGGAGGCTGGGTGAATAAGCTTTGATAATGCTCTGCATTCGCTTTCAGACTTCTTCATATCTGGCTCTGGAAGAAAATAGAAGCCTTCCTCACAGTGTGTAAGACAGAACATGAATTACATTGCTAGTACTGTGGTAGGTAAGGAGGATCTAGGATCAAGAGTTTAGTTGGGAGATTGATGTAGGTGTCAGAGGAATAGCATATTTTTCAAACTAGATGTTCTGAAACTTACACCAATGATACTGAGGTGTAACTCCTTTGCAGCTAGCACTCCTGAGCCTCAGCATTTTTAGTTATGATTAGTCAACATGCCCCCTGCTTAGCCTGCAGCTCCCCTCTTCCCTGTGAACGCTTCCTCTACTTCTTTGCATTATGGTTTTGCCTCTAGATAATATATTCTCTACTACATACTGTTAAACCTAAGGAATCTATTTTCTATAATTGATAGCATCTATAAAGATAGTGTCAGTTTAGATATAACAAGACAATTATGGCTGCTAAATCATTAGTCATTTAAATATACTCCTGGTGTTGAATGAGTAATGCTTACAGACCACTAAAGAGAGTGTTTTGTTTATAAACAGCTATTTTGAAGGGAAACATATGCTCTCATGAATCTGAACATCAGCTGTAGTGTGCAATTACTGAGAAGGCTTGATCTGAAGCATTTCTAATCTTGCTTGTATAAACTCCTTCACTGGGGCAGGGAAGGGGAGCAAAGGGTACTAATATGTGCTAATTCTTTACTAGTTGTATTTCTGTACCCTGTATAGTTAAGAGATGCTAGATAAACCTGTCCCTTGCTCCTTCTTGTCTGTTTTTTAAACTTTGATTACACATATAATAAAATATTTCTTGATATTCACTTAGTCTGTTTGGGTGATCCATTTTTTCTTCCATTCTGTGAATGCACAACCCCCATTGTATGCTCTGGCTCCTCCTTTACATAGCCTGCATCCAGATTCTGGGTTGGAGGGAAAGCTTATCATATGTGTTGTATTTGGAGCTGAATGAGCTGCAGCAGTGGGGTTAAAGGCCCAGGATGAACCAGTGAGCTGAGAGACAAACAACTGCTGTGTGGTCCCAGCTAGGGATGTACAACCCTATCCTGTATCCTACTTGCCAACCCATATAGACCCCTTCTCTGGTTCATTTGGTTCCTCTTCAGAGGTCTGCAAAGGTTCTTACAACATAGAGTATCAGAGGACCAACCCCTTCCTTGAGATACTTTGGACCTGAGGTATTACAGAAATCTAATTTATACAGGATGGGATCATCGGACTCTATAATATGATATATACAGAGGATATAAACTGCAGGCACAGGAGGTAGTTACACTTGCCTCATGATTCTTTCTCACAGAGCAAGGATGGGAACCAGCTGGGAAACATCCTTATCCCTCAGTTACAAAGAGCCTTCACAGGCTCAAATACAGCACTGGCTGGCTTTGTAATACTTTGAATGTCTGCTTGTTGGCCAGTTAGTGTAGTGTAGCTCACTGCTCCCTTGGGAATTCAGGAGCAATAGAAGGAATCTCAAAGGGTTTCACAAACTCCTTCCATGTCTGAAGGCTGGCTGAGTAGCCTGCATGCTATATAGTATTGTAATTTTACCATTTTTAACAAGACATTTCATTTTGATCAGCTTACACTCCTCATCTTTTCTAAGGCAAAATACCTTGTTTTCTACTTTCCATAAAAACTGACTGAAGTCAATGAAGCTGTTACTGATATGTAGTCAGAAAAGCCCATTTAGATGTCTGTGTAGACCATCTTACAGAATATTTCAAATAAGGCATATGAACTCTAGATTTAGTTAAATTGGAAATGTTTGAGAACTGCAAATGGTGTCCTTGTAGTGAAAGCACTAAAATATGTGTGTTGGGTTTCTAAATGAGATAAGCATAATGCATAGTTGATCACTTCTCACATTCCTCATGTTGCAAACTTAGATTTCAGATAGCTGTGTGGCAGGTCTTAGCGATTAGGGGGTTTTGGTGTGGTGTTAACTTTTTGTCACGACCGACCATCTTTCAGGGAGTTGTAACATGGCCTTTGAAGTCTTTCTGTGCTTCTCTAGCGGGTATAAGGCAAGTATACTCAACAGTCTCTTCAGGGACTGCTACCAAATGATCCCCCAGTTTTTTTCCCCTTTGGAGGAAGTAAGGGTATGGTCTCTAGGCAGCTATGTGTGGTCTACTAAATTCTTATAATATGTACAAGCTAACAGTTGAACATATTCAAAGACAGTGTTACTGGTTTTATCACTTTGGAAGAAAGTATAAAAATATCAATAATAAAATCTATACAGTTTATTTTCCATAAAATGGAATATTTTACCAAATAGCAAACTGAAATATATGGAGTAACTAGAAACTTTGCTTTCTGCTTCTATAGCATAAGCCTTTTTCAACCCCACATACAGGCAGCTCAGACTTGCTGTTACTAATTGCCCTCCAACTCACTTGTACGCCCAAGGTCTCTTACCAGTTTTACTGTATTATCTGTTCTCACACAGGGAAGTTGAACCATATTCTTTGACTTACTCTCAATGTGTCACACTAATTTAGGTGGAATTGTCTTCAGAATATTTGGTATCTTCAATCGCAAATTGTCTTCTGTTACAAAGATACGAATTGCTTTATATCTAACTGTTATAACTAAATTCGTAAGTCCTGTCAATTTGAATCATGCTTTCTGTGAGGCACCCAGAGGTTTAGGTATCTCTTAGCATTTACCCAGTTCAACCTAAGATAAATTTATGTGGAAATACAGGTTGACTGTAGGAATTCCCATCTGTATTTCTGTATGCTTTACATATTTTTATATTTTTCCATTTTTCCTCTGAAATGCTTTATATTACACTGTTCTTTAGGAAACTGACTTGCAATAGCAAATGTTAGAGGTGCATGCTTTTCTCTCCTATACCTTGTTCAGAGGGAAAGACACAGAATAGGGTTTAACTTGCTCCTAGCTTTACCTTTATAGTTCTAAAATAAAGATGCCATTACTCTCATTTTCTATATTGTTTTATTCTTTCTGAAGCCCATTTTTCTTATGGTTTCAGCTGCTCTCAAAATCTATATGCATGTATCTGTCAACACTCTTTTAAGTTCTAATGAACTGAAATGTACCCCTGTGTTGTTGATCAAGAATGAGCACTGCTTGCTAATACTCCTTGATGTTGCTGTTGCTAAGCCATAGCTGGTTTTCTGTTCTAGTACTGTTTGTGTCTTTTCTCTGTTCTCATTCGTTTCTCCTTCTTTCTCTCTTAGTTTATGGCTCGTTCTTCAGGTTTCCTCTGCAGCACTATGTCCATGTTGGATTTCAGCTTCTTGAAACAGGTGATGGCAGCCTCTTGAAGCACAACAGGAATGCTTGCCTGAGCCTCCTTTGTGATCTGTAAGAGTGAGCTGAATTAAGAATGACTGAGACAGCAGGTTGGGAAGGTGAGTGCCTTTTAGGCCGTTACCTCATTTCACTTACAAGAGTCCATCCATTAAACACCCACAGCAATGCAGCCATAACTTGCTTTTCTGTTTAGTGTAGCCTCTTCAGGTTGGAAACTAATACTGGGAAAGCCACTACCTCTTACGACCCTGACTGTGCGGTGTCCCAACTAAGCAATGGACACCAGAGTTCTTAATCTTGGTGATTGGTAGGGAAGGACTGGGTTTCAAAAGGACTGTCGATAGTACTTAAAGGTTTTGGAGAATGTCAGGATCATTTCTGTAGGGGTAAAGAAACATTGCACGTGTCTAAATGGTGTGTGTGGGGTACTCACTTTAAAACTTCATCTCATAGGCATCTAAAGGAGGGAAACAAGACTGTAAATTGTGTTCATGACAGTCCATTTATGGAGAAGAAATGCTAGGAGTATAAGCATGCTTACAGGCAATGAGGGATGTTTCAGTCCTCATACTCCAGAACAGCAGTTCTCTTGTTTTATGGTGTGACTATACCAACTGAGCACTCTGCTGTTTCAGAAGCATAGTCTTTGAATATGCTTAGATTTTACAGCCAGGATGGCAAGAGGAAAAGCATGAAAGAAACTAAGGGAAGGTAGAGGGCAACAAACTGAATGGCAGTGTGGTTAGAGTATGCAGAGCCTTTATTTAAAGGGTTTTAAGAAAGGACACTGGATTGAATAGTTGATAATCCAGCTGAACACAAGAGGGCTACAGTAACACATTTTCTCTTGACAGAGAATTCTGGATGGAGCTTTATTAATGTCTGTCTACCTTTTGGCCTGCTCTTAGTTTTATGCAGCTGGGAAATGAAATAAAATGCTACCCTTTACTTTTGTACACTTACAGCTCAGTACAGGCTATCAGGGCTTGCGACTGCTATTTTTAACACTTTTCTAGTACTTTAAACTGCTGGGATTACTTCCTGAACATGCTGTTGCTGCTGATAAGGTACCAAAATCTGTGGCAGATAGATAATTAGCTGTGTTCTCCAGTGATACGAATGCTTTTTTTGCTGCACTTAAATTATGGAGAATCCAGATTGTGAGAGCAAATAAAGAAAAGGGAACATTTGTAAAGCAAGGGAAAATTGTCTGGAAAAGTACAAACTCCTGCCTGGTAACCAAGAACAAGTGTCAGATTGCTTCTCTATTGATCCAAAGTGCAATTAAAAGCTACCTCCTGCAGCTGAATTTAGATTGGGCTTTTAAAGTTTTCTCCTTCCCCTATGGATCTAATATCAAGTGGAAAAAAACCTGCACAGCAGGTCTCCTGTAGAGTCACCGAGTGTGCATCAGCCTGAAGTCCTGGTTCTGCACAGGGCTGCTTACTGCAGTAGTCTATGCCTCTGGGTGCCTGGCCACAGTTCAGTTTAGGTGCTGGGAAAAGACACTGAGACACGTGTTGCTAGAATCAGTGTAAATGGCCAGTGAACGGCTTCATTTACTGTGGTAGAGTCAGTAAAAAGGCTTCTTTCTGCAGTAAAAAGGTCTTTTTTCAGAAGGGATTTTTTGGCAGTTTTTTTGAAGGAGGTGAGAATGTTATATTCTGTTCTCTCCCTGCTGTTCTTTAGGCAGTGGTTTGTGTCTCTTAATTGGAGCTGTCAGGATTTGTTTGTTTTCCTGGAAACATACATTAATATAACTTCCTAGTAAACTGCAAATCATTAGTGAATGTATAGCTTTACTTATATGCTCCAGTATTAGCTTCTGAAGTCCATAAAGATTTCAGAGATAAGGAGGGCCTAAGACAAAGGTGGTTCCAGTTTTAGGCATCTGGCATTTTAACAATTACTTCCTTTCAAGTCAGTCATGTCCAAACTCACTGAAACCTACAGCTAGGAGATAGAGAAGCTGTTAGAGCAGCTTTAGGCACACAAGGCTCACTGTAACTCCTGTGAACATTTTATACTACTCAATGCAACAGGCTGCTAGAAGAATGGAATATAAGCAAAGAGGGTGCAATACATAGTAGCGGGGGAAAAAGGTGCTTGCCTCACTTGAAAACCTTTTCAAAGGACCCTCATGAAAGAAGTATGAGCATTTTCCTCCAGGCAGGGACAGAAGCCATATGTGAAGGGTCTTAAAGTCTTTTTGCAGCCCATTTGAGTTAGATATATAAATTTGCCTTTCTTTGCAAGCTTTTGTGTTCAGATTAACTGGGCCTAAGGGAAGGATCTGACATTTTTCTGGCATAAAATCACCCCACCAGTTCACCTGGTACACCAACTATGTGCCACAGCTGCCTCCCCCTGCTCCCATTGTTGTGTGAAGCTGATAACCATCAGTAATTCCTACCTGGGGAGTTTGAGCTATCTTCTTTATCATAACATTATGCAGGCACTCAGTGCTAGTGATGGAGAGACAGGGAGGGAAGAATTCCAGCTCCTTACTGCTTCT